AATCAAAAAGGTATTGCCTGCAAAAAGCATTAACACAATCATCAAAAAAGCCAGGACAAAAAGAACTTGAAATACTTAAATGTGTTTCTGAAGACTGCACAGTGAGCAGCAATCACATTTACCACAAGCGTTCTTATTTTCCACATTCTCCTAAAATGTTGCAGGTACCAACCAAATCATGAACTATAGATGGCCACAAATCACAATATAAAAAACTACAGATTCGGCCATGTTCCTAACTGAGGAAGCGAGATCAACATCAGCTTTTTCCTACCCGCCAAGGCCATCCTATCCGCCATGGCTTGCTGGCTCGTGAGTAAGATACGAATCGTGTAAAAATATGTGTTAATAACTCACTTGTCCTGAGAAGTCAACAAATAGTATGTAGGTATAAAAACGATATAATATCCTCCCCCATCTCAAACGCGGGAACAAACACAAGGTTATCAATGATTTCGATTTTCGAAACAGATGCGCCATAACACAGTTTTTAACCAGCTGCTTAAAACACTGCAAAAAAGGTTTTAGGACTGCAAACTTCTGCCTCGTGAATGATTTTATTGATAAAAATCATCCAACACGATATTGAATTCCAATGAAATCAACACTGTGAGTGTTATTCACTATAAGAAAATTGATTTCTCTTGAGTGATTCAACCAAAAGGGCATATGAATAAATATTACGTCATCAGCTTACATCCTTTCTTTAGGGGACAGAGGATCTTAAAAGTCAATCCTTGGTTGCCTTTGCGCCACATTGCGCCACTTTTGTATTCATTTCGTCTGCATCTTGGCCCTGTTTCACCGGTGATAGCAGCAAGCTGCTATCACGTTTCGCGAGCTGACGTCATGTCGTGACGCCATACTGTTGACGTAATGGGTAGTTCCGGCGCACGATTGCCGCGACCTTGGCGGCGGCATTAAGTGACGTATGAGCCTAAAAGTAAGAGTTTACGCAGTCATGATAGTATATATATTTTTGATATATATTTTTTCAATATGATGTATTTAAAAGAAGTTGGGTTTAGGAAAAATTTGGACATTAACTTCGAACATTTAGCTGATGACGTAAAACAATATTGCGGCAACCGTGCGCCAGAATTGCCCCTTACGTCAGCAGTATGACGTCATCGCATTACGTCAGCTCGCGCAATTTGATAGCAGCGTGCTGCTATCACCGGTGAAACAGGAGGGGTGTTCACGGACCCTGTGTGCGGTCGGACCGCACACAGCCTCCAAGCTCCGCCCACTGCGTCCCTACGTCAGCATTCCGTCACCGCACACAGCGATCGCTGTGGCCGGTCGGGACCGGCCACAGCGGACCGTCCACCGCACGCAGCCGTGACGTCAGAACCGCCTACCCATCCCCTACCCCCACGCCTGCTGGACGCACCGCACACAGCGCACGCAGCAGTGTGCGGTGCCCGTGAACACCCCTAGGGCCCTTGTGTTTTCTTGTAAAGATAAGACAAAATGCCAGTTTAATTCATTTTCATTTCATTTTGGGACCAAAGTTAGGCTCAGGCAAGGCTATATAAACCAGGTAGAACGCTCCGGGAAAAAAGTTGGAAACAATAAATTAGTTGCGGCATTCCCTGATGACGCGAATGTGGGTCAGCGGCCGGCGGCCGGCCGCCGCTAACACTGTATGAGGAGGGATGCGCGGAACTTTTGCTTGTTGGTGATTGCGCTAGGCAGTTAAATGGTAATGTTAGGATATGTTTCGAAAGTAAATTGAACGACGCTTCGAACGCCGTCAATGAATTTGCGATACGACGACTATTTGTTTAGTTAGAGCCGGCGAACTTTTACCTTCCGACCGCGCGCGGAGGCGATATGGTGCCACACTGGCGGTTTTTACGATAGCTAAAAAATCTTTTGAGATAAAGAGATGAAATTTGACATGTCCTATCTTTTGATCAAGCTGGATCTTATGGAACAAGTCGCATATTTAAGGTAGGTCAGGTTGTTGACCTATGTTGTCGCTCGTGAGCCTCTGCACAGTCCAAAAACAACGCAATTTCTGAACACTCAGTGCCAAGAAATCCTTCACAGAAAGATGACACTTTGACTTGGCAGAAAGAAGAGTTGTCGGTTTCTTACCGTTCGTATGTGTCGTGTTAAGAGTTTAGTAAGGTCAGGTCCCTCACGTGACCTCCCCACATAACTCAATAAGTTTACTATCATAGGAGCGTTTATCAATCGCCGGAAATCTTAGCCAATCCCACTGGACACTGGATCTATACCCACATGGGGCCCTCCTGACTGGCCACTCCCTCTGAAATCCACAATAACATTGGGCTGCGGCCACGGTTATGTATTAATGCTTTTCACTAACAGAAATACAACTTCAACCAGCACAGTGCACGCCGCCACAACAGTCCGACCCACGTCCCTGATATCGACTAGCTCCCGGCCGGATGCACATACGCGGAGCCAATCAGTCCGAATGTGACCTGCAGCTTACAATTGCTGTGTCGCATGACGCATGGCACAGGACGATTCCTAGCAGCTGTCGGCTGGAGTGGAGAAACAGCACGTTGCGACACACCGCGCCGGCGACAGAGCTCAGCAGGGCTGGTTGGAGGCTGGAGCCGGAGGTAAGGGCGGACACAGGCACAGACATTGCAGGACAAATAACAGGATGTCAGTTAGGGATATAATTCAAGACGAATGATTCAAGACGGACTGAAATACTACACATTTTGCTCACTTGGATACCAACTTCAAACTTGACGTTTATGTATAGCACTATAGCACCATGGAAACAATGGGCACACAGGAAAGAAACAAAAGATGAGGGTTTTTTAACTCAAGGAACTAAAACAGCCCGAAGTGCAGACAAGCACATACTTTTGGTAATAGCTATCAGCTGTCCTACTCCTCTTCTCCCTTCATCAACTACTGGACACATTTGAAGCATCATATATAGCACCAATGTCCATAACCAAAGCTTGCAAGTAGTGTTAACTTCTATGAAGCCAGGGGAAATGTGCCTACATTATGCATGTAAACTCAAAATTACACATGCATGACAAAGGAAGCTTATGTAAAGGGAATAGTCGACAAAAGCATCTCATGGTTAAAATTATTCAAAACTGCACACAGGGCAAACATAAAAAGCAGCAAGTGTACTGTTCTGTTATGCTAAGAAATAGTCCAAAACAAAATACAATCTTTTCATGTTTGAACTGGTTGTTCTTCTATGCCCCTTCATCCATATCTTGATTACAGATGGGCTGTTACTGTAGGCTGATGAAGTGACACTTGATTGCCTTTGTGCGAGTTTCAGTTGCAGCCTCCTTGGTACTGCACTGGAAAGCAGATTGAATTGAATGCCTCTGAAAGATAGGAATACAGGCAAAGTTAGCTGGAGTAGTGTCAATGATAATAGACATGACATTTTTGTCCTTTGACATACATTTGTTGAAGTACAAAAAGGTACAAAATAAATTCGTTAGTTTCAAGACACGCACACTGCACAAAGCCGCACAGACATTACACAGGCATATGAAATTGGTACACATAAAAATTGATGATTAAAAAGGTCAAAACTTGCAATAATAATTGAAGTAAAAGTTACAATCACAATCATTTGATTTAAAATGACTTGACATAAGTCACAAGACGCAACGCTCCTATTCTTTTATGCTTTCATTATCCTCCACATATCAACCAGCTTGATACCAGGCTGTGCAATAGTGTGTACATAACCCCATGTTGCCATTTTATTAGAGCAAGTGGGGTTACAACAACAATGCTAATGTCAAACCCACATCTGCAACCCGTACTGCAGTTTCAATCACCTGGCTTACAAGCACACCTTCTGGCAGTTTGATAGGCAGAATGGTCATTACTACTTTCCCCTCATATTCAACATATATTCCCTTTATACAGATACAGTTTAGACCTGGTTATGGCAAGCACTTTCGAGAAAAGATATGATTAAAGTCATAGACAAAGGTCGAGAGAAACAACACCAACATAAAACACCGACTATGTAGCACTAATACTGTCAAATTCATAAAAATACATGCATGAGTCGATCAGAAATTCACTGTAGATTTCGAAAATGGTGTCAAATGCCACTCAAATACCCCCATTCGCATGTACGAAGCAATGAAACACTGACCTTCAATTCCGCGTGCCATTCTCCATAGGCCACTGTGTATTTAATAACGCGTTCACTGATAGCAAAAAAAGAGACCCACATATGACGCGTTTGCTACCAGCCAATCAGCGCTCGAGTTACCGAGCGCTGATTGGTGGAGAGGGCCGTCGTCAGCAGCTAATTACACGTTGTTTTCCTTGAACATGTCCGTGAGCGCTGATGCTGCTTACGGGCTGTTGCCATTTTTCGTAATGCTGAAGGCGCGGGAGCGAACCCCCCTGGGCTCAGGGCTACCTAAAACCTGCCTTTTCAGCCGGATTTTCAGTGTCAAATTCTTTGTAGAGTACCTATCTCAGACCACATCTCAGGACTCAAGGCCAGTTTCCAAACAATGTGTTTTGTGTTGTTTTGATTCTGCCTTTTGCCTAGGGAATGTTGCCATGAACATTTATTTATTTTAGTTACTGTATTATGCCTATTACCTACCAAACATGACACATGACTTAATAATTGGTTGTGCTTTGGCAACATGAACGAGTATTCTTTGTCTTCCTTTAATAGACCACAGTAGATTCTTGACAATTCTAATTTTAGAACCAAACCTGTGGAATGCTGAGGTTCATGTGTTACCCCTGTCCCCTACCCTTAGCAATGGAACTTCTACCACAAAATGTATTTTGCAGTGGCTCAGATTGCTGTTATTACAATTCAATAGCCTCTTAGTGTCCAAAGTTTGAATCATATGCTGATAATTTTTGTGTGTGCAAAATCAAAAATACCGGCATGCTACCGGCACGACATGCCAGACACCACGAAAAAACCTGCGGTAGTGAAAAATTACCGGCATGCCGGTAGTGCGGTAGGGAAATTTTGCAACTCTACCACCCACCTCACTCCGCGTTGCGGCGTCACGTAATGTACTCCGCAAATTTAGGGCCTTGCTCCGCAAGTACTCCTTTTTTTTTTTTTTTGCTCGGTCGGCCTAGTGCCATACCCGAGCAGGGGGCAGTTACTCCGGCAATTTTCGCCGGGCAGCAAATCTTACGTTAAACCGGTTTATGTGAACCCGGTAGCAAAAACAACGTGGGATCCTATCTTAATGTGGAATCAAAGCTAAGGGAGGTACTTACGTGTATAGCCAAAGAGCCGAGATGTCTGGAGTCTCAAACACAACAGTGGGAATGACTTTTATTAACAATACATAATAGACATGAACACTTGTGAGCTGGTGTCAGTGTAATGGAGCCGGGAAGCTTTCATCGCACTGACAGAAGGTATAAGACCTTCTAGGCTCCAGCCCCCCGGCGGGGCCTTGTTGTGGGGTGTAATGGTCGGGAGAAAAAGTCCTAAATAATAAAAAACCCGACGCCTAACGCAAAGGGCAAAAACCTCGCACCTAAGCCAAAACGGCGCGAGGGAAAAAGCCCTGTAACCGCGATTAATTAATGTGTGAGTTTGGGGGTGAGCCGGGAGACGAGGGCTCTGATTAGCGTTTTAGGGGCGGCAGCCGCGGCCCTAACACGCTAAAGGCTCTTGATGATCCGAGCGTCGGCGAGAAAGACGAACAGAAGGTCGTGGATATCCGGATGAGTGTCGCCCAGGAGAGTCGGAAGGTCGAGAGAGAGTCCATGTGTGTTAATGTATTGTACTATATGTCTGCGGTGTTGGTGTAGGTGTGGGCAGTGGAGGAGGAAGTGTGAGATGGTGTAGCGTGGGTGGTCGCGGCAGTGGTGACATATGGGTGGAGGTGCTCTGTCCAGGATGTAGTTGTGGGTGAGTTGTGTGTGGCCGAGCCGGAGCCTGGCTAGGACTCTCTCTTTGATCCTTGTGTTTTGATGGGAAGAGTAGAAATGGCAAAGTTTCGGTTTAATGGAGAAGAGATGTGGTGTATGATCATCTATCCAGCATTTTTGGCGGTATCTCTGGAAGGCACGGAAGAGCGAAGACAGAAAATCCGGAAGGGGGAGAGCGAGATGATTTCGAGATGGGAGATGAAGACCTTCTTTGGCTAGCTTGTCCGCTTTTTCATTCCCCTGTATTCCAACGTGGGACGGAATCCACAGGAGAATGACGTGTTTCTTTTCATCGGTAAAGCCAATAATCATCTTTTTTATTTTATAAACGATTTCGTTTTTTTCCATTTTTCTGTGAGCTATTGCCTTTACCGATGAAGCTGAGTCTGTGCAGATCACAGCCTTTTCTATGTTTTTCGATGAGACATATTTGAGTGCTGAGTGAATGGCTATTAACTCAGCACTAAATATGCTATGGTCGTCGTGTAGCCTACTTGTTTTGTTATGATGGTCAGATGTGACAGCGGCTGCCGTCCTCCCGTCACAAACTGAACCATCTGTATATATGTATGCATAGTCTTTATGTTCTTCTTTATGCTCATAGAAAAGTTGAATGCTTTCTTCTTTTGTGACTTTTGATTTTGCCTCTGCGTACAGGAATGCAATATTCTCTATGGCTGGCAGAAAGAAAGAAGAGATGGGTGGCCGATGAAAAATAGATGGAAAATCCAACTGGAAATCACTGAGTGTCCTTTCTATGCGATAGGCGATTATCGGGTATTTGAGTTGGGCCGTTGTGGGAGGGTCGTCCGTATATCGATTGGAGACAATGCGGTGCGAAGGCGAATAAGGGGACAAGAAAGTGCGCGCATAGAAGCGAAGGAGTTGGAGTTTACGGCGGTGAGAGAGAAGAGGAATATTACATTCTGCGTGGAGAGCCTTGATATTTGTGGTGCATTGGGCTCCTGTAACTATACGCAGGGCCTTATTTTGTATAACTTGAAGTGATTCGATCTGATTAGAAGCTATATCATCAAATAGAAAACTGTTGTAATCCAGGATAGGACAGATTAGGGAAGTGTATAGGTTAAGGAGGGTGCTGCGATCAGCACCCCAATCCTTTCCTGCTATACACTTAAGTATGTTGAGGCGCCTAGTGCAACGCATTTTAACGTCTTCAAAGTGATGTTTAAAGGAGAGTCTACTATCTAGTGTGATGCCGAGGTATTTGAACGTTTTAACGTATTTGATAGTTTGGTTCTTTACTTTAAGTTCAGTATCAAATTTAAAACGGGACTTATGGGAGAATATAAGTGCTACTGTTTTGCTGGGCGACAAGACTAGGCCCCATTTATCGCACCAGCTATGAATATCCTCCATTGCGTTTTGAACGGAGGCAAAAGCCGAGTCAATGTTTCTTCGCGTTACCCAAATGGCCACATCATCGGCAAAAATAGAATGCTTAAGGCTACTAGGTGGGTTTTGAAAAAGGTCGTTAATCATAATAAGGAAGAGGGTTGGGGAGAGGACACTGCCCTGAGGGAGGCCGTGATCCTGATTAAGATTGGGAGAAAATGTGTTACCGCATCGTACGCTAAATGTTCTATCTTTGAGGAAATTAGAGATATAATGGGCCATGTGGCCGCGAATACCTGTCTTATGAAGTTTGATCAGAAGGGCTTGTTTATTTACTTTATCAAAGGCGTTTTGAAAATCAATGAAAACTGCAAATGTATACATGTCATTTTGGAAGCCCTTCTGGATGTCATCAATGAGGTGGACTATATTGTCTGCCGTGGAGCGGCCGGACCTAAATCCTGTTTGATGTGGAGAGAGGAGGTAGTTACCTTCTAGATATGCCCTAATCCGTCCATTGACCATATGTTCTGTCAATTTAGCAGCGCAACTGGTTAGGGATATAGGTCTATAACTAGAGGGGGAGGAGGGTGGTTTGGAAGGTTTAAGGATGGGGACGATGGTACTGTTTCTCCAGCTCTCGGGGTACAAATTGTTTTCCCATAGATTGTTGATTACTATCAAAAGGTTTTCAAGGCCGGATTCAGAAAGGTTTTTGAAGAAAGGATAGGCTATCTGATCCGGCCCTACCGACGCACACTGGTCGGAAACGCCCTCACGAGAGGCCACGGGCGATTCCGGAGTTTCGGATTATTTTTTATATAGATCGATTTGAAATTGATCAAATTATTATACTTAGGCCAAAAAAACTAATCCGGGTGACCAAAAATAGCTGTAATCAGCCCCCGAAGATGGGGTATCCCAGAACTCGGAAATTGACGCGGAGCAAGAGGTTTCTTGAGCCGGATATTCAGAGTCTTATTGCTGATAGACACCAAATTGAAATCCCACATATTATGCATCAAAATGTTCGTTATGAAGTTGCCGACTGGTCAGTGCAAAATTTTTGGTATACTTTTTCCCTAACTAAGATGTACTATAGCTTTTTTATGAAGGCTCTCCTACAGTGATTCTGGAATATAACTGCAAAGTTTAGGTAAGGAAACAACAGGTAGTCCCATCTAGTTCCACTCTGATTTTTTGTGAGATGAAGTAGGATTTAAATTTACACCAGGGCAACATAAAAGCTAACTGCGCATATTTGCGCAAAATTTGCAGGAGCCGCTCTTCCTACCCAACTACCGCCCGCCCCGCCCCAGTTTCGGCTCGGCCGCCGCGCCCGGCTTACGCTGACCTGTGTGGCCTGCACGCATCCATGCGTAGTTGACTGGTCATTAAAACAGATGCGCCAGAGTTTATGAATTTTGTGAAAAGCGCGTTTTATGTATGCATTTATGTATGTATTGACATCAAAAGCCTTCCACATATTGCGTGGCGATTACGGCTTGCATTTAGAGAGCCTTGCAATTGACAACCATCACTCGGCTGAACAAAGTGGAAATTGAAACCTTCGTGAATATAAGACGCTGCAAATATAGGACACCTGTCACTGACGTCGGGTTACCTTGGGCCGTCTTTTTACATTAGATCACAATTCCGGTATTTAACCCTGGCCGGACCGATTGGTTTTCTACATTGACCGGGGAGGGTTGGTACAACTCCCTCGCCGTTTCGCCTCTAATTGAGCTAGAGCCTCGCGGAAAAAAACAAGCTTGTGTGCCGTTATAAGACGCAAAAATTAGGTACTACCCGATTTTAAGGTCTTAGGTCAGCCAGTGACCTCTTAGGTCAGGTAAGTGCCACAAGGCACGGGCTCGGTTTTAGGTTAATTACTTTGTCAAAAATGGTCGCACTGCCGCGATTTTGGCATAATCGTGTTTGTCTAGCTCAGGCGCGTTGAATGCTATACTTGGTGTTCGGGTGAAGTCAACTTAACCCTCGCCGGCACAGGCCATTTTGCGTCCTTCGACGGCACAAGGGGGGGGGTTGGTACGACCCCCCCTCGCGTTTGGCCCCTGATCGAGCTAGAGCTTCGCGGAAAAAAACGAGCGTGTTGCACGTCACGAGAGAAAGCCGATGATACCCAATTTTAAGGTCCTAGGTCATCGGGTGACCTTCCAGGTCAGGTCAATGACCCGAAAACCGGGAAAATCGGGACCTGTTAGAAAGTCGTAAATTGTGGCTGCTATGTGGTTTTCCGGGGTGCTGATCACGAATATCGTATTAGTTTTGATCAGAGATAATGTCTTTAAGCATTTAGACCAGGTCGAGTCAGGTCAGGTCAACCGGTAGGGGTTGTGACAGGTATTCGTAATACGTGTCAACCGCCTCTGACAGCTTCGTAACATGTTACGAAGGCGCCAAAACTACTTCGTAAATGTTCAAAAACTTCAAATGGTTGCTAAATTGAATTCAGCTCCAAAAACTAGCCTAGAAACATGTAAAACTCGAAAAAGTGAACCGAGGTCACCCGAGGTCAACAAAGGTCAATGACCTGACCTGACCTTCAGGTGACCTTGACACCCATCCTTATGTATGGGAGCAACATCAAATCACATGTTTGAACGTTTGAAACCACGAAAAGCTTGCAAACGCGCGGCTAATGCGAGCCGACATACGCCGAATCGCGATTTCGGCCAAACATGGTCACGGAAAAGAGGTCACAGGTCAAAGGTCATTAGGGTCAGGGTCATGAAATTTTCAGGGTAGGTGTAAAATTGATCAATGCGAGGGTACTGAAA